ACAAATTCTTTAATTATTTTTTATTCATCCAATGGTATAAATCAACTTATAGATGAATGGGGAAAATTAATGCGTTTAGTTTATAATAAAACATTGAAATATCGTTCAGATGATTTAACTATAAATTATCTTGGTTATTATACAGATAATGGAGCTTATTATTATTATCATACAGAATCTCAAATGAATTATGAAGAAACAATAATTGAAATAAAAAAAAATTTAACAATTCCAATTCAATATATTCAATTAGATTCTTGGTGGTATTATAAAAGTTTAGCTGATGGAGTTTCAGAATGGACTGCTCGCCCGGATATATTTCCTGATGGTCTTGAAGGATTAAATAAAAAATTGACAAATCTTCCATTAGCAGCACATAATAGATATTGGTCATCTGATACAATATATACAAAAAATTATTCTTTTATAATTGATAATTTAAATTTAAAAAGTCTTCCATTAGGTAATGATTCATTTTGGATTGATTTATTTAATTATTCATCAACAAATTGGAATTTAATATTATATGAACAAGATTGGATGAATCATCAAACAATTGATTTTATTCCAACACGTCAAGAATTTGATCTTGGAAGACAATGGTTAATATCAATGGGTAATGCAGCTAATTTATTTAATATAAATATTCAATATTGTATGAGTTTACCACGACATGCTCTTCAATCATTAGAAATTGATCGTGTTACACAAGCAAGAGTATCCGATGATTATTATGTTCATATTGTTAATAAAATTCCACAATGGAAAATTGGTATATCATCAATGTTAGCTAATGCTCTTGGTTTAGCACCATTTAAAGATGTTTTCTGGTCGAATTCAATTCAACCAGGTGCTCCTTATAAAGTAACAGCTCGAGAACCATTACCTGATAGAGAAATTCTAATAGCGACTCTTTCAACTGGTCCAGTAGCTGTTGCTGATAGTATTAATTATATTGATAATATACGTATTATGAAATGTTGTCGACAAGATGGTCTTATTTTAAAACCATCACGACCTTTAACAATGATTGATTTATTAATATCTGATTGGGCATTGTATAAAGGTTTTAAACAAGGAGAACTTTATTCTACACAAACCATTATGTAATTTAATTCGTTTGTTTTTGTTTTACAAAAATTCTATTATTCATTTTTTCTTGTATTTAGAAATGAACAAATATTTTCAATAATATTTGCATCATCAATGATACGTAATTATTCAATAATACCTTCGATGATTGGATCACCTTCTGGAATAATATGGTCATTTGACAATCCATATGAATTATTTACTTTTGATGAAAATCATTCACTTTTTATATCAACCGAAAAATGTAATGATACAACATTTTGTTTATGGTATAGTTCACCTATATGGCAATTTAATGATTCATTATCAACGAAATATGTTTTTATGGGTGAACTTAATAAATGGACATTTGTTAGTCAACAAAGATTTTCTTCTCTCAATTTAAATTCTGAAAATACTCAAATGACAATCATAATTAACGGTGCTCCAAATGAACTTGTAGATGTTTTTGTTTATCATTCCAAATTTGAATCTATTATTCATCTTGTATGTAGTCTTTCTAATAGTAACGCTCAAGCACAACTAATAATAAATCCTGTGAATGTTACTTGCGTATAAAATAAAATAAAATAAAAATTGTTTTTCATCAAAATAATAATTATAATGTACAAGTATAAATACTATACTTGAACGTATCACAATAAGCTATATTTCAACTAAGAAATAATATTGTCTACTATGTTCTTTAATGCATCAATATAAATAAGTAAGAGTGCAACTATACGTCTATTCTGTCAGTTTAAAACTGTGTGAATCCGTACGCAAAGTATGGATGTCAACATCAGACAATTTGTTTTTTTTCGTTGATTATTCTAGTCATAGTAATTTTATTTCACTATGATTTTCTTTAGTTCAATATACGGTACTCACAGAATTCTGTTTCTAATCATGTGACTCCTTATATGACAATTATATATAAAATCAGAGGATGAATGTAGATATTGTCCTTCTTAATTCTATGATAAATGAATCTTATTCGATATCTATTTCTGGTTTGTTGAGTGCAGTCAGTTACATGAATTAAGCTCCGAATAAAAGTAATTCCATTCAGATAGATTTAATCAATTTCTTTTGTATGTAACAAATATTGTTCGAGGAGATCATATTCTTCCAAACAATGCAATAAATAATATAGTTTTCTCATTATCATGATTCGCATTATTTCTGTTTTATTTATGATTTATATCGTCCGTATTTGTATTATTTTCTCGTGCTCGTATACTGTTATTCTTTCAATATAATTTAAGAAAAGATTATTAGCAAAGAATATTTTTTCTCTTAGTTTGATTGTTACACTACAGTAGCCATATTCAAAGTGTACTCTTACAATATTCCTCTTTAATAGTGTTTGAAGGAATATTATAATATTGATTGGAAGATAGATTATCCAATAAAACAACTTTGTTCCTTTGACTATTGTGACTACTATATCTATATGCTCTGGTTCAGCTAGTTTCAGAGTGATCGATGAATATATCTTGACAGTTAAAATAATAAAAATTACATCTATATCATTTTAGATCAATATATATATGTATATATTCGATAGCGTAAGGTATATAAAATATATCTGTATTTTTAATTCTTATTTTTTGCTTATATAGTGATGCCAAATAATTATGGCACCAAATGAATATGTCGAAATACGGCTTGTATGCAAAGCTAACTATCTTGATCCACAATTAAAAACAAAACTACATGAAATTAGAGATAGTCTTAGACAAATACTTCATACAGGTATTAATGATTAAAATAAAAGAATAAAGTTATAATATTTGTTAATATAGGTCGAAGACGATTTGCTTTAAAAAAAGTACAACCGTGGAATAGTATAAAAGTTACATTTAATATTCCAAAAGAAGCAGCTGATCGACTTCATTTGCTTGCTGTTCAAGGAAATATACGTCTTATTGAGCTCGGTATACTTAGTGTAGAAATTGTAGGACAATCAAATACTGTTGTAGCTAATAATAATAATAATAAAAGTTCAACGGCGATAACAGCAGCAACAACAAATAGTATGTATTCATTCTATTATCTTTTAAAAAAGAAAGAAATTTTTATAATATAAATTTCAGATAAAGAATTAACGGCATCATCTATGCTTAATTCAACTCTTACACAAAATTCTGCATTAGATACTAAATTTGATGTTCATCAACATAATAACAATGTTATGCAAACATCATCAACAAACGTAAATCATATTAATACCACGAATCATTATGTATCTCAGCAAGTTATTCACCGACATGAACCAGTATTAAATCCTACTTATCCAACGAATAATAGTAAGAATAATATTTATATCAATGAAAATTTCATTATTCGACTTTATTCTAGATACAACTTCAAATTCTTATCATCATGATCATAGTACACCTGTAAATGGAACTAATTTGCATGATTCCTGGTCAGACTATAAAATGAAAATTAATGGAGCACATTATTATCCATCTCAACATCAACAATGAATTGATTTGGTAATTAATTAAGAAAATTTGTTCACAATGACACTTTGGTTATTATTTTGAATATTTTACTTATACTTGTTAATAACAGTGATTGAATGATTATTAGAATGAAATTATTATACAAGCGAATCGTTTTACATTTTGTAAATAATAAGAATTGAATAGTTCGTATGGTTATATCCAAGTATCTTTGTTTTGTTTCATCTTACCCTCGATTACCATTCCACCAAATTAGTTGTTTTGATTTCACAACAGTTGTGTGTATGTGTATAAAACTTTTTTCCTTTTTTCTACGTTTGTTTTCTTATAAGAATTGTATATAGAAATCAATGAGAATGAATGGTTCGGGTTTTTTTTGTATTTCGCTTTTTATGATCTCTGTTTGACAATGTGTTATTATTCATGATTTCTTTTTTTTCTTTGTGGATATGTATTTGTTGACATTCGATGATAAAAGAATAATACCAATATCAATAAATTGACTTAGTTTGAATTTATTCAGTATTATATATTTTATCATATAGATGAAATTTCTGCCATTGACTCATTTTGATATTTGTTATGATCATAAAATTAGAGGCGATCTTGTGATGAAAATGTATAACTTGCCTTACTATAGAATATCTCATAATACTATGTAATGAAATGAGATTTCAATGAGAGAAATTTATAAAAGCTATTAATATGAGTTATATTGTGTCATAATAATTGACAATAGCTATTATTTTTTTTACGATCTGCAGAAGTTTTTTGCTATGAGATTTTACTTATCCATTGTATTGTCTTTGTTCTATAACTGATATATCATAAGTTTTTTTTTATATAGAGGAATAGCACCGCTGCTCGTTTATTGAATAGAATAAAAGAAAAGTCAATTAAACATCGTACAAGAAGAGAAAAGCACATAAATGTATAATAAAAAAAGGACAATTTTCACACCCTTGATTTACATCACATAGATGGAAAGTTAAATATATATATGGACACTATTTAATAATTGCAGCGATTGTATACAGATTGTTTATTAGATAAGAATATCGTTAACAGTTTCGTATAATTTATTATCACTATATTTCTTCAACATAGTTGGATGGAAATAAGCCTGATCTCTGTCCGATTTTACCAAACCACCATTCCTCATGCATCTGAATATAAAAATAAATTATTTATTATTATCAAGCAAACAAAAAATAAGCCAATATCGTTTTTACCTTTTGAATATTTGTAATAATTTCATTTTCTTCGAAACCTAATTCATCTTCTTCCGCTAAATACATTAGAATAAATGTTGTAAAAAGCAAAATAAAAAATTGTTTCATTTACTTTTTTGATAACTATAACGAGCTACACATTTAATGCCTTCGTTATGATTATTATTATTTGATGGTTGTTCTGATGGAACAACTGATGTTGGCGATTGTGGTTGATTATATGATGGGTGATCTTCAGCCCAATCATCATCATCATCTTCATGTGTTGGTGATGAAGTTTTTCGTTGTCGTAATAATGATGCTACATTAACATTACCAATAAATTTAATAGGTTCTTCTGTTTTCTCGTAATCGGGTATTGGTTGTTGTGGTTCATATTTGGGTATTGATTGTTGTGGTTCATATTTGTGAGCCATATTTTCATATACAGTTGGAGCAGAGATTTGTGGTAGTGCTGGTGGTGGAGTTTCAGATCGATGAGTCGACGGTGGTGGTGATGCTTCTCGAACTGATGGCTGCTGTGGTGCTGGTGGTATTTCTGAATGATTGATTTTGCTGTGACCATTACTATTACCATTACTAGTTGGTTGTTGTTCGTTAACAGCTCGTTTATTTCTTTCTTCAGTAACACGTTTTGCAGCTTCTTCTTCTTGTTCTTTTTTCATATTTTCAAATCTTTAATATATATGTGTTATATGATTCTAAGATTAGCAATCTTTCTTTTGAAATTTACCTTGCTCGAATATTACCCACGCCTATACTACTACCAACAGGTGGTGCAGGTTTCTCCTCAACTTTTCGTTCTAAAAAAAAATTAATATAGATTGCAAATTAATATTAACACTAAAATAAATTCATTTACCACTTGGTGGTGTTGCTGAAGTAGTCAATCGACTAGGTTCTTCTTTTTGAATACCATATTTACCACCGAACCCAACGTTATAATCTAATATTCATATAGATATAGATATATTAGAAATAGAAAGGTAATTATAAGTAACCTTTTTGTGAGGAATGTTTTGGTACTGCTTCTTTATGAGCAAAACCTACTGCCGATTTATCCTGTGCGTTTGGGTCAGTACCATATTTACCACCGAAACCTTTTGAAAAATCTAAAAGAAAAAGAAAAATATTTGTTTCTTTTTTCATTTTGATCAAAATAATAGTTCTAAAAACCTGTTTGTGATGGATGTTTTTCAACTTGTGCTTGATAATCGAAACCAACAGCAGATTTATCTTTTGGACGTTCATCAACTCCATATGCACCACCAAAGCCTTTTTTACCATCTACAGTAAATTAAATAAATATACATAAATAATTAGCAACATAAAAATACATTTAGTTAGATATTATACAGATGATTACTTCTTATTCTGCCATTATCCAAATAAATAGAAAAATGATTGCTATTTTAAAAGAGTAATAATATAGGTAATCACTCAAAAGAATATCGAATTTAGTTCATATTCTTCAACTGCAATCCAACAATATTTATACCAACTGTCAGCATGTATTCAATTGTATTTTATTATAAAAATCTATTACTCTACAAATACATCTTGATTATTAGTCACTTGGTAGTAATTATATACCATTATATTCAAACAGGTTATTAATAAGTAGTAAACTTTTTTCAAATATATTTTCCGAATTCTTCTACTTCATATAAAATATATCTTTATCATTATTTATATTTATTAATATTTAGAATATGACAATATAAAAGATAATGAATAGTTATTCAATAAATTGTTTGATAATCCAATCACGTCAAAACAAAAGATTTTTTCAACCAAATATGTAAATAGAGCCAGATAAAATGAATTGAAACATGCAATAAATTTTCCAACTTATATTATACTTTACTCAATATTTGTTTCTAGAAATGATTTAGTGAACAAATTATACTAGCGAAATAATCATTGAGTGCATTCAAAATTCGAGCTTAAATTAATTAAAAACAAAATAACCTATATAGAATCGGAATATTACAAAATCTTCTAATTAAAACTATAGCAATCAATAAGCGGATATAATCTATATAAAATCATGTGCAATATTTCTACCCTACCTGTTTGTGAGGAATGTTTGTTAAGATCAGTTCTATATGAAAAATCTACTGCAGACTAAAATTGAATAAGATTTATATATTAAAAATTGGAGTAGACAAAAAAAACAATAGAATTTACTTTGTCCATCACTTTATCAGTTCCATATTTTCCTCCATAACCACGATTAGGATTTGTACCTTGATAAATTTCTTTTACGGTACTATCAGCTGTTTTAACTTTTTCTTGAATAGATTTAAAATCTACATGATCAATTCGACCAGATCCAGGTACACTTGTTGAACCATAACGTTGTGCTTTTTCATCTGTTTGATTCTATTTAAATAAAATAAAATAATTTCTTTGTTTATTTGTTTGTTTGTTTTTTAATTTGAAATCTATACTTCATAATTAATATCTGTTTCCCAATCATCATCTTTTGCATCAAATTTTGGTTTTGGTGCAGTTGGTTTAGCTATCGGCTTTTTTAAAGCTTCACGCCACGACATTGTTAAGTTTGAAATATTTATTTAGAATGATTCATTTTTGACATAAAATTCCTCTGCTCAAGGAAAGGTTATATATTCTATCCAATCTCATGCCTGAAACGTCATAACTGCGATTTAATTGGATGAAATGGAGGCAAGTAAGCGACAAAAAGGTACAGGATGTCGTATGATCGAATCTTAAAAAAACATCTGTATCCATTGAAGAATAACATATATTGTCTATTTTTATTATTCCATTTTGCTTAATTTCCAGAAACAATTGGCTATTGTATTGTTTTCTTTTGGGTTGTTTTTGTGTATATATATATGTGTTATTGGTAAAATTAAGAAGAAATAAGACTTAAATTAATCAATCGTTTTTATTAGTACGATGATTGTAATTGACAAAACATAATAGTAGATGAATCTAATATTTTTTTTTTGGTTTTCACTAAGGAAGAATGACTGATTCTTTCTCTTTTTCTTGTTGAAATAGATATTATTATATAGCAGCTGTGACCTGTTTATTTATTTGAAATAGTAATGCATTGCTAAATATATCAGAAGTGTACGATATTTTGACGAGAGTATTTTTTTATTGACATGAAAATTTACTGAAATTTTCCCTAGTAATTAATTTCTTATTTTATAGATTGTAATATGCGTACTGCCGATTTTCTAGCGGCTTTTCTAAGCCAATTTCTTGCATGTATTGTATGTATATATATATTTTCAATTATATTATAATTTAATATGCATAAAATAATTTATAGGTTATTGCAGCGTCTGACTCTTTATCACCAAATCAATGTTCTGACATTGGTTTTGCATCAAATAATTTAATGTGCTCAAGTTGTAATGATTTAAAACAATTTAAATTGGGTGAATTAGAAGGTTCATGTCGACAATGTTGTACACACGATGATGCTGATCAAGATGAAGGAGAAGGAAAAACAGTATGAAAAGATATTTTTTTAATACACTTAAAAAATATTTTTTTTCTTAGAAATATCATCGAGCTGTACTTCAAGTATGTTCCTGAAAATTAGGGCGCTATGCCCAAATTGCGGCGTTCATTAAAGGTGATCGCCCAGCTCGATTTCCATCGTTCAGTGTCCAATATGTTCGTGGTGCCGATCCAATATTAAATCTATTCAATGATCGCGATGAACAAGTTGAATCAATGGGCATTGAAAAATGGGATACGGATACATTAACAGCCTTCCTCGAAGAAAATTTATCTCATTAAATAGTTGCTCATCATATCAATATAATTAAATGATTCGTCTCTCATATTTGTTAAATGTATTTCTTTCTTAAAAATATGTATTGAAATATGTTCGTTTTATTTTCTTATTTCAAATGAACGAAAAACACTAAACCTAACAAGGCGTGATTTTCGTGATCGTTAAAACGAATATATTTTAACAATTTTTAGAAAAATTCATCTAACTTCTATGTCATACGAAATATTTTTTTATATTTCTGTTATTATTTTTTTGTCCAGTTATTTTACCGAAAAAAAAAATTCCACTTTTATATCAACATATATAATTTTTGATTAATTGATTTTCTTTAACAAAGATTCTCTGCAAATAAATGAAAAACGTATGATTTATAAAAAGAATTATAGGATATATTTCTCTATTTTATCACAGTCTAGACTCGATAGTATCATCAAACACTCTTTTACCTAACATTTATGATAATATGTATTGTCACAATAACCAAATTTTCAGTTTATTCTTAATATGAAATCGTTTATCCAATATATTATTATGGATTGACTTTTAAGAACATACACACTAAATTTAGCCTTGTCAGCCTTAAGGACTTCTCGTCCTGTATTAATACATATGTGTGGGAATCTGGAAAATCAAGAGTATCTTAACCTTGTTTTGCTGATCATAATCAACAGTATTGCATATTAACCATCGAAGGCCAATTACTTTTTTTCTAAAGCAAAAGAACATCTATCATGTTTTAACCTAAATAATACAAAGGGCATAGACAGATGATATTGGCTGCAAACTTCATAATTATATTTGCCATTTAGCTAATTATATAATCAAATTTTTTGAGAAAAAAAACTAACTTTATCTAAGATTTTTTTTAAATAAATTTATTAATTTAATTTTCACAATTAAAAATGATATAAATTGAACATTGTTAATATCTTCTTATATTTTGATCAATTTATTATTATTATTTACATAGAAATTAACAACTGCAAACATTAAAACCAGAGGAAAATATTTAATTAAAAATTATTGTTATTAATATTTTTGTTTGCTTGAAAACGATAAGATTTTTGTAAATATTTTATTGTATGACGTCGATGACATTGACAACGAAGTATACTAGCAAATGTTCGTCGAAATGTTCCATTACATAAAGCATATAGCATTGGGCTAAATTAAAAGTATTTTAATAAAACACAAGATAAAACTTTAAAAATTCTTTACTTTATGGTTGAATTAACATAACATAACATATAACCAAAACGTTCCCAATACATTGGAAAACCATGTGAGAATATATCTGGTTTTATAGTTGATATAATTATATTTGTATTATAAGGCAGCCATGTTACAATAAAAGCAATTAAAATAGCACTATAAAAGAAGAAACGTAGGATAGAAAAATAAAAAAAAATTGCTTTTAACCTTAATGTTTTAGCAGCTTTTTGATCTTTTATTTTTTCTATACGTCTTTTAACTGTTTTAACACTTTCATTTGTTTGAGATTTTGGTGTTGTTGACGATTTATTAGATCCAAGTGCTCCATTTGATGATTGTTTATTACTAATAATTGTATATTTTTCATTGAGATGGCGTGCTGGTTGTTGATCATTCAATGATAAAGATGGTACGACATTTATATAATTACGACTAGATGATCGTCGCCAACTATTATTGTGAGTATAATTTGTTGGATGAGGAGTTGGAAGTGATACTGTTGTTTGACCACGTAATCTTGATTCAACATATTCAATATCTTTATCAATAGTGTTAATTAATTGACGATTTTGTTGTTGTTGTTGCTGTTGTTGAGAAAGACAATCTTCGGATGTTGATGATAATGAATGATAACATGGATGAGTTTCATATTGTGTTGATTTTTGTTGTTGTTGTTGTTCTTGATCACTAATAGATTCTGTTGATAATGGTTGATCACATCGACGAATCCATGGATCAGTAGCTGGAATTACTTTTATTTGTTCTAATATATGAGCAATAACATTTGATTTATCATTAATAAAAACATATTTTACCGTTATTATTTGATATCGAATAAGAATCAGTTAAATTTTGATCGATAGTTGGAGATATTACAGGGCGAATTTCACTTGAAGATTCATCATCATCATCTTTAGTTTGTTCGGATTGTGTACCATTACAATTTCTTAGTTATAGACAAATAATTAATACCAAATTAATTTATTAGAATTTCAACAAAAAAAAACTAAATATTTACTTACAAAAGAATGAATACTTTATAAATTATATATTTTAAATTGTTGACTATAAACAATCCTATTTCTATTCTCTTGTCTATATATGCACGCGAGTATATATATATATTTAAGTTTCTATTGAAACTATGTGTTTTCGAAAGCTTATTTGAGAGGATGTCATTCTATATTCTGTCGTCATTTCCTGTCCAATGCACACACGCACATGTCAAATAAATATTACTACAAGAAAATATTTATGATATTCTATAATATAATCATATGTATGCATATAAATAACTTTAAAAACAATTACCTCTTCCAACAAAAACAACAATTATTATTAAAAGTATGAATAAATTTATTTTGTTTTTTAGTATTTGATAAAATTAAATTTTTATTTGTGGAATTTTGTATTGATAAAATTCTTCCATGAGATCGATTTGAATCTGTTGATATACTTTCATCTTGTTCAATACCTGATGTTGTTCCAATAATACTTAAATTTTTTGTTAAACCACCACCATTTGGATTGGAATTTGTTGGTGTTATTGTTTGTGATATTGAACTATGATGTTGAGCTTGTAAAAGATGTAATTCTTTACGACGTTTAACTGTTTCACGATAAATACGAAAATAAAGTAAACACATTAATGTAACGGGTAAATAAAAAGCAGCAATTGCTGTTGGAATTGCCACTATAAAAACAAACATATATGTATTGTTAATCATTTGAATAAATGATTTTTCTTGCCTGTAGCTTTTGAAGCAAATGGTAATCGACATTCACCTGGTGGTAAACTTTTATCGAATAATGGCCAAGCCCAAATCCACTACAAAACAAAATTCCTTTTTTTTTTTATTTATTTATTTTTATTTTAGTTACCGGTGTCCATATAAGACATGATATAGCCCATCCACAGCCAATCATAAGTGATACACGTTTTGGTGTTCGCTTTGATCGATATGTTAATGGTCTTGTAATAGAAAAATATCGATCAAAACATATAAGTAAAAGATTAGCAACTGATGCATTTGACATTGTATAATCTACACTAAGCCATACTTCACATAAAAATTGATCAAATGGCCAACGATCTTGTTCAAAAAATGTAAAAAATATTGGCATAGAAAAACATCCAATTGTAAAATCAGCAATAGCAAGTGATAATAAAAAATAATTTGTTACGGTACGTAATTGTTTATTAATACGAAATGATATTAAAACAAGTAAATTACCAACTGTTGTTAAGAAAGATAAAATTGACCCACCAACTATAATAAGAATTGTTTTATACAATGTACCTGAAGAACCTATATCTGATGTACAATTATTATACAAGAAACAGGAATTATGTTCAGACATCTAAAATAAAATGAATAATAAATACTCTCTTTTGGTTCAGAATTAATTGATTATTATTTAAGAGGAATTCTAAGAATATTTATATACATTGTTAGAAATAAAGAAGTATGTAGGAAAGAATAAGAGAAAAGAAGAAAACTCATATTTGCATTTAGATGAACAAGACAACATAATCACATCTTGTCTATATTGTTTTCGAATATTTTGGTAAAAACTACATCAAATCAATTTACAAATATAGATAAGAAAATATGTCTATCTCTTAAAAAAATATATATGACAATAGAGTATTAATATCATAATAGATATTTTATTATTGCATTAAGATAATGTTTTTTTTTTCTCACTTTCTTCTTCTTCTTCTTCATAAAATTATCATTCACTATAATAACGATGATAAGATGTTTTGATTGAATAAATATTACGGAAAGTAGTACACTTGAAGGAAAAGAAGAGAAAAGAAATCGATATTCAACTATGAAGACTGATAAATCAATCGTTGTCATCATCTAATTATATATGAAACTGTCTATTTCACTATGCAATCGATAAGAACAAAAGAAAGAGAGAAAAGTAGAAAGATTTTCTCGCTTTCCGAATGCCATTAAGACCAGACGAATATTTTTTTGGTAATTATTTTTTTCTTCTTGGTGATATTTACTCAAACAGATCTTCCGTTACTAATCCTTTTTTTTTTGCACAAATATTTCTTTAGTAAATGACAGAAACCTCTAGTAAATACAATTGGCTATACTCTTATACTATTATAATGTTTTCAAGAATTGATTCCTTTTTCATCCGATAACTAGTATTTCTATGACTTTTGACTTGTTTATAATACATGTCTGTTTTGCTTTTTACCCTTTCGGTACACTTAAAAGCCTATCAATATACAATTATCTGAGATTGCACGTTAAAAGATATGTCTTTGTCTGTCAACAGGCATATCGACACCTCATTCATTATTCTATAAACAGAAAATATTTTTTTTTTGTACCCGGAAATAGTGTGAACATCATACAATCATCAATGATGTAAGTGTTAACGTAATAGAAAAGATACGTAATCATGTATATATATTAACAGACACTTCTTTCGATAAGATAAACTCACCGATCTAACAAAAAAATAATCATTTTGGTTTGTGTTCTTCATGCTGACAGCTTTCATCTCGTAACTTGATCTAATTTGATAATACCAACAAGGACTGCATTATTCTACTTCAAATGTAAAGAAGAAATAAAAGAAAGAAAACGATAAATAGGAGAGAGAGAGAGTGAGAGAGAGAGAAAAATCTTTTTTTTTTTTGAGTATCAAGACCTAAGCACATTTTAATAGTTAGTAACAATGTTTGATTTGTGTGACTCGAGAACGGAAATATTTTATATATTCATATCTATTACATATTGATTCGGTAATGATACACTTATTATTTTTAATATATGTAAAAAATAAATTTCTTTTATTGAGAGTTATTCAGTATACGTCAATAAATTTATATATTAAGATTATTATCAACATAAAAATACATTTATTAGAGTATTTTTGCTTATAGATATGCGCTTGATTTCATTATAGAGAATAATTTATCAATTTGAAGATCAATATTTGATAATAACATAACAAAATAGTTAATGCTTGAAATAGCAAACAAAAGTGTTAACTATCTGATAGTAATTTGACAACATATTTCTTTGAAAAAAATGTTGATTGATAGTTATTTACACTTAATAATCGATCATTTATGAACAAACAAAGATTTTTGTCTCTCTCTCTTTTTGATTATATTTCTATATGATAATAACTGACAACAACAATAATGAGAAATCTTACATATACATAGTTGCCAATTCTGTCTTTATGAATTTTCTGTTGTTTCATCAATTAATCACTCACTAAACATCTTATTTTATTTTAATAAATATAAATATATATATATCGATTTGTTCTATGCTTATGCTGTCTGTCATATAAGAAAAGACATTCTCATCAATGATAACAACAAATCTCAATAGACAAAGACAATCTTACACCATATTTCGAACACATCAATGTGAAATCAATGTGACAGCCGGAAAAATAACGACAATAAAGATTACAATTGAAACCATGTTGTATTGCTGCTATTCTATGTTCTGTTTATATTTTGTATCTTTTATGCCCCTATTTTTTTCGATACATTACAATGATTTATCTTTTAACAGTCGGATACAATGATATACGTAGTATAAATGTACATGTGCTTAGCTGAGCAAGAAAAGGCAATAAACAATTGATTAAAGGAAAATCGACAGCATTGATCATTATTATTATTCTATTTATAATCAAGAGTAAATACCTAGTATGAACAACAAGGGAATAATTTCGTTTTTTCTTTTTTTTCTCTTATTATTTAAATCATATAAATAACGGCTGTTGTTCAATTGTCGAGAGATAGACAATGATGATTGACAGAAAAATTTAAAATAATAGTTCTTTAACGATAAATATTGACAGAGAAAAATGAGTTCGTTCATAAGTAGTTGCATGCCTTCATATATTTTTAGAACAAGTTAAAACAAAGAAATCGAGTATTTTTAACATTATCTAAAATAATAATCTATTGCATCATCGTAATAGAATACTACAAAAAGAGGTATTTACTAAACTATGTAAACTGATAAGATTGATACTTATCTAAAAAAAAGCCAATGGATCACTTTTGATTAGCAAAATATACAGCTATTATTTGTTTTTGTTAACAAGAACAAGATAAAGACGTTTGGATCATCAAACGAACGATAGAGAAATATCTTGCATAGAATTTGATACATTCATTTTCTCAAAAAATAATTTATTTAAAAAATTTCAATTATACAGAATTATTGTTGTCAATTTTATGATGTTGCCATTTTTGCTAATAAAAAAAATCCACCCACTCCACCAACAAGTACTCCAACAATAATAAATCCAATCCAAAGTCCAGTAATTTTTGGACCTGTACTTCTTACTTTTTCTTGTGTACTTTGATGTTGAATATTTAATGAACTGATACGTGCACGTAAAATAATTTGTTTTGTACTAGTTCTTGCACGAAAAGTAAGAGAATTAGAATCAATAGCTGAATTAAGACGTTCAATTAATGTATCTAATGATGTTTCTTTTAGTGGTACTTCGACAGGTCCTGTTCGTGGTGGAGCATCAAGTAAAGTAAATGTAACTAGAATATTTTCATTACTATCATCTTGATCAACAATAAGATTTGATATACGAATTGGACGTATATGTAATGCATACATTAATGTTTCAAATATATGAAGACGTAAATAGTTTATATTTTCAAATACAGGATATTTTTTATCATTTCCAATTTTAAAAGATAAAACAGCAAGATTGAATTTTTCTAGAAGAAAACACAAAAATTAATCAAATGTAAATTCATAAATTTTCTTCTTACGATCTGGACCTAAAGCTCTATAGCAATCAGCTAGAGCAAAATCGATTTCAAAAATTGTATTTGGATTGCGACGATAATTAAACATGGCTTTAAATTAGAAAATATATATATATTTGTGGTATAAATTGAATTTATACTTACTACTTTCGACTGCATTTGTCAAAACATCATTAACATAAGTTTTCCAAATCATTTTCATTGGAATCATACGCTGTAAAGGTTCACCATTAAAAGTCGATGCCCAGTACCATTCTTGATGTTGTACTGTATTATTTGGGTATTTTTTTTCACCAATCCATACATGACACCAAACACGATCACGACATCGTTTTTCACCCGTATAATGATTTGTAATATCATCCATAACAATTAAATGTTGTGGAGAACCCATTTGTACTAAATTTGGTTGTCCTTCAACAGATTCAGCATCACCAAAAAAAGTATTTATATCATTAACCATACATTGACGTGTTGTATGATTATAATTATAGGCAAGACCAGTTGCAAAATCATGTATTTCAGTAAAATGTGACCAAGTTGGTCCACCGAATGGATCAGGATACCAAAGATCCAAACGAGTAAATTGAAATTCATTATCAAAAAGTCCATGTGAACTATAAATTGAACTATTGACTTCTGGTATAAAAGATTCTGAATTAATAGTAATACGTTCTGGAATATCTGTAGGTAAAGATAATATAGATGTTCGATTTGGACAAAATACACCTGCTGGAGTTTCTAATGCTTGTCGTTCTTGTCGACTATTTGGATTTGGTATATAACGAAAGACATTATATGTATACGAATTCATTTTACTAAGATAATTCTTAACTCGTACATCGATTTGTAATATAATACTTTGATTTGCTGGTAAATAAGATTGAAATTTTTTTACATTGGATATATAATATATTGCTGATACAGTAGCTTTGATATCATTAAGATAAAAACATGATTTAAATCTGTTAGTAGGAATACCACGTAAATCTTCATCACCATCGTACTGAATACCCCATAATGGATTTATCTGATTACGACCATCAAAACCTAATAATGCTGATGGTTTAAGCATAAGTGTATTTGATTGATAAACAGTAGTTTCTGATGTTGTGTCAATGACTTGTCGAACACATTTTGGTATTTGTAATGGATTACTATTATTAGTTAAAACCTCAAATTGTTCATTAGTATCAAAATTCCAATAAGATTGAACTGTTCCTAAATATAAAGAATAAACATAAAAGTTTGTTACAATATATAAAAACAAAATATAAATATTAACCCTGTGGTGAATTTGTTATAATTGCATCGCGTTGTGATGAGAAAGCTTGTGAAACGTCTACGACTCCAGTATTTAATACTAATTCTGTCATAATTTCAAATCGTGATGGAATTGCATGCCAGTATGGATCGAGAGTAGGAGAAGTAGCACCTTCAGGACATAATTGTGGATCTACGGGTGTTTGTGTATAAATAAATGGTATCAATACTAAATTAAATATTACTAAATATAATTGCATTTGTCGCATATTGCTAGCAACTTCCAACTTTTAGTTTTTTTTTTTTCGTTGAATAATATTTTAAAAGCAATAATAACATCAGTAAGTTAAATTATATGATAAGAAAACAAAAGATTTTTATTTGCTTGCATTATCTATGTTGAGTATTACACGAACTAACAATATGTTTGCTTTCTTTTTTTTTTGTCAGTCATTTCAAACGTAAACAATAGAAAGTGTACCATTGTTATCTATTTTAACAATATTATTCTTATTATCTATCGTTTATTCATCTATTTAAAGAGTTTTCTTTGTTAATGACAAAAAAAGTACACACATATATATAACTATAATATACGACCAAATGAAATATATTGATATTGTCCTTGATCTATATTTATCACGCAAAGTCTATTATAACAACTATGATAGCAATCGACCTACACCTGTTTTGTTAACGATAGGCATTATCAATAGTCTTGTATGTTATATACCATCTATGTCCTTGTTTTCTCATGTCGAGCAGCATCTCTATATAGTTATATCTTGAGCAATATGATTTGGTCTATGAAGCATATAGATCATACAAATACTGAAAATGACGGATGTTTGCTGTCTTTTTTTCTTTCCTTTTTGATATAGCGCAGAGAAAACGTTGTTTTTCTCATGTGTACAAAGTATAAGCGAGAAATAAATCGATGGAATATATTCTTTCAAAGCTATATATACACTTCCATCTATATAGACAATAGAAAACAACAAGAAGAGCAAATTAAGAGAAGATATGTATGCACCGCGTGCAAAATTTGAACGTATTTATGTTGTATCACCAATTAAAGTAGCAATTATTTTTCTAACAAGTTTACATTGTTTATTTTTATTCGTTGCATTTTTAACATCATTTTGGATACAAACAAATCGTGGTCATTATGGTCCATTATATAGTTGTGAAAAACGTTCCCATTCGAATCATGGTTTTATAACATCAATAACAATGGAATGTCATCAAAATGGATTTTTGTATGATACAAAAATTTTCTCAATACCATTAACAATTATATTATTAATTGTTTCATTTTTTTTATCGTTTATATCGGTTATAACAGCAAATCTATCATTTGTAAGAAAAACATTTTCAACTCGTCATCGATATTGGTTATGTACAATTCTATTACTTCTATTTGCTACACTCATTGATTGTTTTATATTAGTTTTTATTCCATTAAGTTATCGTTTTGAAATTTATCATTTTCAATGGGCTTATGGTGTTCATTGTGGTGCAACATTATTTATTTCAGTATCATTAATTGCAGCTATATTAACTAGTAATATAGATGATGTTCATTATATTGAAGCAATTGATGATTCAGCAGTTGAGAAATAAATAAATTAAAACTTTTATTTTCTCTTTTTAACATTAGTTTCTTTTTTAAAATAAATTTTCTATTTGAAAAAATATCAAAATATTCCATCGTTCTTTCATATGTCTGTACTTTCTATTAGATGTTAAGTGAAAATTTAACCTTCTACAAAACGTCATTTGTTATCCTATAATAATTATGTACAAAATGTATTTTCTCATTTACAACACCTAATAGAATTTTCCTTGATAGTAAAAGTCTGTCTATTTTGGTTTCATTTCCATTCTAAATAAATATTCTTGTCATAGAATTTATACGATAGATATTATATATTATCCAGTAAAAACAAGGATCTAATTAGTTTCGACGCTATCAAAATAGTCTATACGAGTTTGTCATTTTTGTGTCGAGAAAAGTTTTTTACATTATATATTATTTCAGATCTATAGCTTTTATCATACCAAAGGAGAAGAAGAAAAAAAAACGAGAAAAATGATATTATTCATAGAAGAAAATATCTACTAGTTGACATACAGATCAAATGACATACGGTTATTGATGAGGTATTGGTTGTAGTTTGTCTTTCATATAGATCTCTATCTTACATTTGATCATTAGTTAAATAATCAAATATCGATACTAATGTCTATGAAATACGTAATGATGAAATTCAATCTTTGTCTGTCTATATATATATTTTTTTTTTTGACCTAAAACTTATAAATCTAAGATAAATGTTTTTTAATTATAATAATCATTTGTTTTAATTTAATAATCGCATTTTGCATTCGTTTTATCTTGTCATAGAATAATTGAATATTTTCTTGATCCATGTTTTGTGTAATTATTAAATATTTTTGAATATAATTTAATGTCCATGATGTATAAATAATCCAAATATGATATTTTAATAGATGAAAAATTAATTTTTCAAATAAATAATTTTTTGATTGAATATTATTAAGATTTTTATCATTATTAAAATTATTCATTAAGTGTTTGGACCATTTTTCCATATGAAAACAACGTATAGCACGTAATATACGAAGGCGTAAGTCAAGTGCTAGATCATATTGAATAAGTTCTTTATTTGAACAAATCATTAAACGTGACATATCATTATTCATTTTATTCATTAAACTATCAGCATTGGAATGTGAAAAACCAATATGTGAAAGAAAACTTATAGCTGTATTTAACGATGTCATTTTTGGAAATAATATGAGAATTTCTTTATTTTATTAAGTATATAATGACCAGTATAACTTATGTTAGAACAGATGACGCCATAAATCAAGGTTATTCAGTTAACTGATTCTATAAATCAAATGATATTGAAAGAATATGTATTTATTTCTTTATAAGAATAAAATATGGGTTAGTATATATTGATAAAGAATGATATATAAATATGAAATAAATGAAGAGAAAAAGAAATATTGTCATTGTTCTTTTTTCTGAAATTAAGAAATTTAATGTTTATTGTTTATTGTATTGATATCTTGTTTGCATTGGAAATTTCTTGGTGAATCATATCTATCTTTAACATCTTTTGACCAAGGTCTACCAACAGATGTATCATCATATGCTGGTGGTTCATCATAAGAGCCATTCTTATCATGTCGTCGTGCATATTGAAAATTAGCATATCGTGTATATTCATCATCTATTAAATTCTCATCTTCTTTGATAACACCAAGTTTATGTGCAACCCTGTAATATTCAAATATTTTTGAAGAAAAAGAAAGAAAGAAAGAAAGAATAAATACAAACCATTCAAGTTTTTCAACAATACTCTCTTTAATTAAATCAATACACATAGCTAATACAGCTAGACCAATAATAATATAGAGGCAAGCAGCTACAAAACGTAAACCTGATGTTGAACTTGATGTTATACCAGGTACCTAGAAGTTTAAAAATATACATAAGAATTAAATTAGAAGAAGAAAAAAACCACTAATTTTACATACATAATCACCAAATCCAATTGTAGACAATGTTATATAACAGAAATATACTGATTCTACCATTGTCCAACCTTCAAATCTATTGAATATAAATGCTCCAAAAAATATATAACCAATTATAATTATAAGAACTGCTAAAATAGGTACACGACTTTCCATACGATTCCAAATATCATCCATTTCTTGATCAATTTCATCATCAATATCATATTCATCATCACTTAATTTATCTCCATCATATTGACGATTTGCTTCTGGCCAATGTGGATCAACTGATCCTGTACCAACATAACCAATTTTTTGTTGATTAAATGAATTTTCTCCACGTAATCGACGTTTTCGATAACGACTACGCATATAAATACGACAACAACAACACATAAAATGAAGACTTGTCGAATATATAAAACGAAACATATCACCCAATATCGAACTTATATTTGCTAGACAAAGAAGAAATATTGGAATACCAATTAATGCATAGCAAATACATGTAATTTGTCCTTCCCTTTAGAGTATATATGAAAATTAGAATTTCAAAAATACATTTTCTATTATCTTACCATGATACTGGTGTTATATGTCCATAACCAATTGATGTAATGATTGTTATTGTAAAAAGTAATGCTGATGGAAAACTCCATCCTGATGTTGTATCACAATCCTGTCCGCTGTAACGAAAATTATTTTTACGATCATAAACATCATTTGTAAAATTATCCAAATAATCAGCTATTTGTTCATAAATGATTGTAGTATCCTCACTTGTTATAGTAACATAACTGAACATTGTTTCAGATATATTTGATACTGAAACATTTTCCGTTACTATAATAAGAAATAAAACTATTCGAAAAAAAAGTTTAATTCATAAATACTTTATACATACAACTAGCTTGTTGACAATTTTGTAATTCAATATATTGTTCAAGTAAAATGAAAAGAAAAGCTCCACCAATACTATAAGCAATAACGACAATGACTAAACCAAGATTTGAACAAAGAAATCGTGCAAATGTATGAAAAAATGATGGACGTTGATTTTGATTTTGATTTTCAGCAGGTACTGGTGCAATAAGATGCGAGATTCGATCAATTGGCATCTTACTTCAAGATTGTTTAGTTTGTAAGTGAAAGTTTACTAGTTTTTTTTCTCTGATTAAATAATGACAATACAGCCGACAAAAAACTAATACGGAAAAAATGTAAATTGTCTCGATTGATCGAGAAAAATAAATTAGAGATGAGTGTCGAGAAACAAATTCCATGAATAACAGATAACTAATAAAACATTAAAAACAAACAAGTAAGGAGAAAATAGAAAATAATAGTACGGAAATGAATTTTATCTTAAATAAATATTATTCAAAGACACAGTACTATATCATACTTCTTTTTTTTCTATCAAAAATTATTATGAACTCGTGCAATCTCTTAACATATTTTTTAAAAACATCTTTATGCACAATAGAAATTCTTCAATCTATATTTTCATATATGAAATTTTTTAATTTTTCTTCATCTCTTTATTTTATTCTTGGTAAACCTCTGTTCATTCATTCACAAAAAAAAAAAAACAAAAACTAAAACGAGAAACACATGATAATAAATGATGTCAGTTGTTAAAAAGTTTCTCACAAAAACACAAACAAAATCAATAGCATAAACAGGACAAAGACTTTTGTTGTGATTTTAACACAAAAACATAACTAAGAAGTTAAACACAAATACAAAGACGATGACCAGAGACGTTTTGAGAATAAAATATTGAAGAAAAAAGAAAAGATAAAACGACGCATTTTTTTCTTGTTATTGATGTTAATAATAATTCTTCTTATATTTAGAATTTTGTTTTTCTTTGAACGGTTGTTTAGACTGATGATTGACCTCCATCTTGACCGCCGCCTTGATTGTCATTATTCTAGAAAATTAAGAAAAAAAAATATATATATATATATATATTAATATATGTTAAATTACAACAAAACTTAAAACTGCAGAAGAGCATACTACATAAAATAAGACTTACATCGTTTTGTGAATCATTACGATTTCCTTGACGAGCTCCTCGAAAAAAATCGACCACGGCCACGACCACGACCACGAAATCCACCACGACCACGGAAGCCTAAATAACACAAGTGATTATTTTGTTCTCGCTCTTCGGCAGTTTTTTACAACACCAAAACAAAACATAAAATAATAAAAGCAAACTACGTACCACCCATTGGTGGACCCATTGGACCTGACATAGGACCCATCGGACCACCTAACATTGGGCCGCCTCGACCGCGAAAAACACGGGGTCCTCGACCAAAAAATAAAAAATTAACATATAACCCCTTTTAAAAAAACTTTTTCAACCTAATACCTGCAAAATCGCCATCATATCCATAGCCGCCGCGCATTGGTGGTCGTCCACGACCTAAATGAAAATTTTAAAATGTAATTTATGAAATATAGTTTCAATTATATGTATGTATATATATACCTCGCATCATCGGACCGCCGAAACCTCGTGGTGGTCGACCAAAAGGACGTCCAACCATTGGTGGTGGACCATAGTTTTCGAATGGTTGACCAAAAGGTTGATTATAACCACCATCGAAACCACCTCCTCGACCTTAAATATATTTTATAAGAATTTATCTCTTATTTAATATATAAACATACCTCCACGGAAAGGTCCTCCACGACCGCCACGGAATGGTGGTCGACCGTTGCCACGACCTCCTCGAAAGCTGCCACGTGTATTATATTGTCGGCGATCAGCTGCATATTTTGAACCTTGTACACTGTCACCATTAGGTCCAGTTACATTTGCGGCTTCATAACCTTTTTCACCTACGACAAAAAAAACAAATAAACAATACTTTTGTAAAAGAACGAAACATATTCAATCTAATAATATATAATACCTTGTACAATGTCGAATTCGACTTTTTCTTCATCACCAACACTACGTAAGTACTTTCGGGGATTGTTCTTAACAATAGCTGTTTGATGAACGAAGATGTCTTCATTAGTATCTTCCCTAAAAATAAAACAAAAGAAATTGTATATATATATATATAATAATTTTCTAAAAAATATTTACCGATGAATGAATCCATAACCGCTTTTAACATTGAACCATTTGACTGTACCAGACACTTTTGTTGCTAAAAAAAACAAGAAATAATTATTTTATCTTACAAGCTGTTGCTTTCTTTTTTTTTTGCTTCTTTATATTTCATTTACAAAGGCGCGTATAGTATGAATAAAAGAATAAAGAAGAAGAAGAAAAAAAACCTAAGAGAAAAACAACTTATTTCTTACCGACAACGCTTTTACCATTGATTTGTTTTGGATCATCAGTGCCCGAACCGGCTTGATCTTGTTGTTTATTGGCATCAGATTTTTGATCTGATCCAGAATTTTGGTTTGTTGCCACGTCGTTTGATGACATGTTAACCTGATGAATAATTATTTTGTTTGTGTTTATTTGTTTGCTTTTTTATTAATAAGCGCGTTGGATCACGACGAAGATGTTTTATTTATATTCGTTTGTGCTGTTGCTGCGCTTGATGTTAAATTTTGTTGTAAAACGCTCGGGCGCGTGTGATGGTGATGGTGAATGGGCTTGTGCTGCTCTTATTCTAACGCATCTGAATAATGAATGATTCGACCATTTTTGTAGACAGCAAAAACACGCGCCGAACGCAACAAGAAAAGAAGAAAGAGAGTGAATAAGAGAAGAGAAAATCTATTTTTCACTCTCTTTGTGTTTGTTCTCGCACACTCGTCACGTGATTATGAGAGAGAAAAGGAAGAATAGCAAGTAACTAACACACATCAACCTCTACCACAAAATATAAAGAGAACGATCTGGAATTATCATAGAATCGATGCAACAGCAGTACTACTACATATATACTCTGTTGTCCAGGGGGTAAATGAAGAAAAGAAGAAAAGAGAAGAAAACGAAGAAGACGACGAAATGACTTTGTATTTGAATACGTGCCAATAAGAGAAAGAAAAAAAAAGAGAAGAAACATAATGTCGACATCTACCCTATCGCTCTATCATCGTTCTTGTAGTTAATGGAAATCAAGTTAAAAGAATATATTTAGATTATTGTCCAGGGATTATACCAAATATGTATGAATGTTCCAAACTATAAGTTCACAAAATTTATATACATATATATATCGAATTAATAAAGATTAAAAAAAAATTATTTCTTCTAATTACTATTAGTAGAGGATGTTTATTCGACAAATGATCAGATTTTCAATTTTGATAAAATACAATATGTATATATTTCTTACATTTAATGGTTATAAAATTAATATACTCAAGATATTATAGATAACAAAAAAAAATGTATCATAGAAACTTTTATATTTAAAGTATAATGATTACAATTTATTTATTTTGTATAAATAGATATTCGTAAGTTCAATAATTTCTTATAATTAATACATTGATTTTTTTATTAGTCATGAATATTATACATGAAGGAGGATATAGAATATGATCCGTATCCGAGTCATTTTAGAGGACATAATTATCATTAAATGGACAAGAAAGTAAAAAATGCATTACTGATTATTTTCAATACTAACGACTAATTATGAATGTATTTGATAATTTCAGATATCTAACTTATAGATCTGTACCATTTTAAAACATTCAACTAAAAATTTGAGTTATTTCGACTGACATTTTTGCGTTACTGATTGGATTCAATGATATATAAGAAACACATACATTTCTTAGAGAATAATATGTCCGTAAAATTCTTGCGCGTGTACTATTGGTAATATCCTTCATTACATAATGATATATCAAGAAGAAACGTAATACCCATGCTATCTAATTCTATTTATATCTTCTTTCAAAGATAATAACTATATTAGAGTAGTTTTGGAATACAATATTTTCTATGTTGATATGTATTAAATTTGAATTAAATTTTTTTTCTTAAATCAACAAATAATAAAATAAAAATCTGTTTTGTTTAAATAATTTCCCAATAGAGAATTTTTACGTTCGATTAAATAGGAGCTGATAGCATTACCATATGGATCGTAATGTTTGACAAACAAGGCTTATTTTTATTATTATAGAGATCTTATTGTACATCCTCAATTAGTCGTCAATATGTGCAAACAAGAACAATTATCTTAAAGAAAAATAAACAGATTTTATATATAAAAACAATTTCACTAAATAAAATATCCTGAAGTTCCAAGATCTTTCTATTATTGTTTATACAGAGCTAATTTCTAAAATAATTTTATTATATTTATATATTAATTGGTTCTTTTGTGAATAGAATCATTTTGAAAAATTAATTTAAATATGTTAAATGAAAAAGTAAAAATCAATCTTATTTTTATATAGATAATAGTTTATTCTTTTATTTAAATTAATGTCAACAACAAAATGATTGTTCAATATTTGATAATAATGTATTCCGTCAATTAAATAGTAGTATATGAATTTAATATGGAAAATTTGATGTTAGTAATACTAATGTAAATTGTATTAAAATATTTAATAATGGAATCGGTCAATATGGATATTTATTTGATTGTAATCGAATACTTTATGGTCAAAATTTACTTTATCCATATTGTATAATTATTATATCTAGTAAAATATAATTAAATATATTAGAGCGTGTAACATCAACTAATAATGTATGTAATTGTTTTATTAAATAATTACGCAATAGTTTATCAAATTCACGTGGTTTAATATCGATTAAATGTAGACATTGAAGTAATCTTGTTGAATGATATTGAATTTCAAGATATTTTGACATTGATCATTAAACATCATTGAGGGGGCCCCCCCCCTCAGGAACGATTTGCCACTTAGGATGGTCCGTTTGAGCTGAAATTTTCAGGGATGAGTAGTCCTGGTGAGATACGCTTCTAATAAAAATTTCAGCTCGCTAGGTCGTACCAGACCGGATTTGCACCTGGCTCATAGGTGATTTTTGACCTCCAGGAGAATCTTTATAACTCCGTTCAGGGATGACGTATGGAGCTCGGGGTAGTTTCAAATTAAAGCCCATGTCAGTGCGCATCTTTTTATCAGACAGAATTTTGAAATTGTGTATTATTGATTTTTAATGAATATTTTAGTAAACATATCTTTAAAAAAGCATGAAAATGATGCTCCGGCGATAGTAAATTTCATTTTTCTGAGTCCAGGTTTTGAAATTCAAAAAACTGGTTGATAAAAAGTTTCGTCTTTTCGAGATCTTCAAAATAAAAAAAAATATTAATTTTTTGGCCCATCCGAATCAGAGTTATTTCCATTTTTGTGATTGGAAACCATGTTCTGAGAAAAACGCAAAAGAAGTTTTAAAATTAAGAAAATCCGTGAAAAACTCAGTTTTTATTTGAGAACTTCATTTTTGCACGGTGACCTCTACTAAAACTTACACCGTTCGATAGAGAATTAAATTCTGCATCTAACGGAGTTATTTTTAAAGTTAGCAAAAATTCCTAGTCGAATCTAAACACAAAATACTCGAATATAGTGCTAATTTTACTTATGTAAAATATATTAAAAAATAGGGTAGTAAGGTCAAGTTTTTTGCTGATAAGTCTAGGTAAATCTCATTGTTTTGGGAAAACCTATATATATTCGGAAAGAGGAAACTTCGGCGCATCTTTCTATGTGATAAACTCAATTTCGATTTTTTTTCAAAAAAGTACATTTTTTGAGGGGGGGGGGCCCTTAATGACATATTTGAACGAAAAAGAATTTTTTTTCAAAATGTTTTTTTCTAAAAGTATGAATAAAGAAAACTAATGAAGAAGATGATTTATTGAATTAAAATAGGAAATCGATGGGAATGAAAAGAAAACGATCAAAATAAAAATAGTTGTAATATATTAATCGAGTTTGGATTTTCATGTATAGTGTGTTTAATTGCTGTGGTGCATTGTCAATAACTCCACCCGTCTTTGAAAGTAACATCCAATGCACCGGGATTAACCTGTACCTATGCAATCAGTAATGGTGGCATGAGGTCGATAGTCCTGGTCAGTTTCTTCAGTAGTTGTAAGGTGTAAATTCATGCCGATTGTTAAACTTCCTTGTTGCAAATTAATCTTCATCGGTGGATCAAATTGACCGAACTGATTTTTTATATCATCATATTTCATCCTATAGAATACGCAGTTCAGTGGAAATTGTAATTTTGTATTTGTTGATAATGACAAGTAGATGTTTGATGAACACTGATTAGTCCTTGTTTTTTAATTAATTTGTTTAAATCTGAAAAAAACAACAATTACAATCGTTAACAAAATAACTATATTAGATGATATTCTTATGTAAAACAAAACAGCTATGTTTATAATACAGAAACGGAGAGAAAACTGAATTAACATAGGTCACGGTGTGTACACGTACACCTCGAATAATAACAGACGAAATAGGTTCTACATGTTTTTGTTGTTTTTTTCCAGATTTCAACACCTTCTAATAATACAATGCTCACCAAAAATTTACTTAAAATTATCCAATGACGCAACGGTCAATTATCCCGTAAGTTGTGTTTTCGTAATCATCATGTTGTTTTTTTAGATCTAAACAACAATTCCTAATTCATTTTCAACAATTTTACTATCCTTACCAACAAGTACAACATTACAATCTCCATTACAATACGTATTTCACAGGGCAAAATATGATGATGAAAAAAATCAGTTCGATCAATTTGGTCCACCGATGAAAATCTCTCTCCAAGAAGGAAACGTAAGCGGTGGTATAAGTTTACCGTTTGCACCTACGGAAGAAAATGATAAGGATTATCGACTTCATGATATCATAACCGATAGCAATGGCATTATTTTAATCCCGATACACTGGATGATACTTTCTAAGTCCGGTGGACTCGTAGATAATGCTACAGCACAAGAAAAAACATTATATATGAAAATGCAAACTGATTAATATATTAGAACTAAGAAAACAATACAATAGAGAAGCTCGTCAGTTTATACCATATGGTCAACCAATGCACGTCAACATTCAGGATGGTGGATTGACTGATGGTATAAATCTACATTTAACATCAGCTGAACAAACACAGGTCGATTGTTCTTGAAGCAGCAATTCATAAATCTGACCCTGGCATAGCTTCGGGTGGAACCGAACGGATCCGCTCAACGGGAATACTCTTTTCAAGAAACCTCTGGCATACCACGGAGCCGGCCGTTTTCGTGCCGGATTGTTCGACCTGAATGCACGTCAACATTCAGGAGGGTGCGTTGACCGGAGTTATAAACATACATCTGACAAGAGCTCCGTATACTGTACAAAAGTACCGTTTGCAAGTAGTAATTATCGATTATAAAGATATTGTACTACGTCCAAACCATTGGCTCACATTGGACAATACCGGGCTCATCAAACAAGACCAGCTACAAACTTCAAAGGTGCCTCTCGTGATGGTATCGAGTTACATTTAACGGCGTCAGAAGAAAAAATGCCACGTTTTCTTCTCTCAACAACTGCAACAGATGGTCAAGAAAAAGAGTTCAAATCCATTACATCAATCACGCTTGGTAGTAGAGTATTAGTAAACATAACTAATCCTCATCATTTTAATATCATGTTGCTCATGCATACCATTTATCGAATATCTCTCTTTTGGTATAAAAGATCGAGATAGTAATGAGTTTGATTATATACATGATATTAAATTGTAAGCTACACTTATCATTGATAAAATTGTCAATTACATGAATCTTTTTTAGATTACCTACCACTATTATTGATCCTTATCTTCTTCGATACTTATCTCATCTACATATAAATTGTATGAATAGCCTAAGTTTTCATCGAATTATTACACTTTTATCATCTGTATTGGGTCAACTTTCTCATTTTTCATTACAGTTAAAAGGATTTAGATCAATTTCTGATCCATTAACTATATCAGGTGATATGATTCAACAATTGTGCATTGATCGTCTTCAACCAATGACAACTTATACTCTTAATCTATTGTTATACGCTACGGATACTTTTGAAGAAAAAAGAATTTTCAATTCGTTTTTTAAAATTCCATTTATTCAATGATAATGACCAAAATTATTCATTCAAGAACTTGATGATCGATATATGGGTTCTACATTTCATTGTTTTAAAGTATCTACTTTACCATATAATGACAAAATTCTTTCATCATACGTATTCTCAAAAGAACTTGAAAGGTATTTAGAAAACATTTTTTTATATGAATGATTAATAGAATTGTTTTCTCTTTCTTATTTAGCTCTTTTCAAATGTCGGTGAATCCAGTAGATCTATTTCCATGCGCTGATACATTATTTCTATGTGGCTATAACAAGATCAATTGTGTTCAGGATCTTGGCAATTGTAGAAGTTCTATTTCATCATTAGTTTCATGGCCATTATTAACAAATATTTCAATCAATCATAATCATGTTCTTACTCCGACCACATTAAAATGTACACACACTAGAAATTTTTGATGATTTTGGATTTTTGTTTCGTACAATATTAAATAATCATAATCTTACAACTGTGATCAATCAACAAGTATTGATTTTTATTTCTATTTCAGAAAAATCTTTCTTCAAAACTTAATCTAGAAAAGAAAATATTATAAAGATTTAAACGTACGAAATAACTAAAAAAAATATTTTTCTATTAATTAGATTGAATCACTGGAAATCTTTAGTATAACATTGACATTTCAAAATGCTCAACGAAGTTGTACATTATTGTCGAATCGATTATCTAACTTGAAGAAACTTAACTTTAATATTTGTGATGCATTTTATCCATGGAGATGGAACCCATCTTGTATTGTTGACAGAAAAAATAAATCCACAAGACGTATTGTTCCTCTTATTTATCTGCTTGTAGATAAATTACAAAAACTTGTTTCGCTACGCATTGTCTTTTCCAATTCCAAATTCAATGATACACCTTGTTTTCCACATTTGATTCGACGACAATTACATCAATATCCACTTAATCGACCATTTCGATTACGATTTTCTTCTAATGCAATTGCACTATGGCTTTATTAATGTATTAATTATGTTAATGTATTTTGTTATTGTAAATTTTATACATATTTAAATGTCAGAAAAATCAGAAATATTCTGTATTTTTGTTACAAGCAATAAAATTGAAATTTTGAAATTGAATTAATTTTTCTTGATTAATTTTGACATACAGTTAATATTTGCTATATTGAAGGAGATAAGATTGCTAAACAAAAAAAAGCAACTATTTCAACCCTTTTTTTCTCTATTAATAAATATATTTTCAAAATAATAAATATATTTTCAAAATAATAAATATATTTTCAAAAAAAATTTACTTACATTTGATACAACTGATGAGACTACATCGTTGCTTCATGAAATGGAAGTAGATTTTAACAATCTTTAGAATTTGGGTCAAAAGAAATAGTTAGGTCAGTCCAAAAGTAATGACAGTGACATTTTAATAGCCGACAGTAAGCTGAAGGAGAATTTCTTTTAGTATTAAGCAACAGAGAAAAAACGCTCTATCTTTCTATGGTATTTGATTATACTTTAGTCAAGATTATGGTAGGAAAGTTTTCATAAGGTTAGTTTTATTATTACGTATTTTAGTTACAGCAGTACTAAATTGAAATAATATTATTCTATGTGAGTATATTCATTAGGGTGTGGGTGTGGATATTATCTTTACACCACACTCACAGTCTTGTTTTAGTTTACTTTCATTTTTTCTCATCAATAGTACCAAAAAATTGCAATTCACTCATACATATTCGAAAAATAAAAGGCTTCTTGCAAAGAAAAAAACAAAAAAGAACTGACTGGTAAAAACAGAACACGAATATATATTTTCTGCATAAAAAACAGACGACGAAAAAGAAAATAAAAATAAAATAAAACAAACGAAAGAATGTTGTCTGCAATAACAGTACTTTAAATGTAATGAAGAAAAAGAATCGAAAACCATGTGATCGCTAGCAAGATTAGTTAGTGGGTATTTTATTATTTGTATTGGTTGCATTTTATATTGCAGTTAAAGTAGTCAGGTGTAGGACGAAATTTAAAAATGGTCTGTATATCGTCTAAAACATTCGAGTTCTATATCGCATTCATTTGTTTTTCCAGTATAAAGTGGCAGAAAATATTGCATTTATACGAATGAATAAGGATTTAATCTAATATTTTTTTATTTTAAGTTTCTAGATAAATGTCAAACTTGTCGCTTGATTGTCTGCCTGTTGAGATTCTTCATCGTATTTTTGATTATCTCAACGTGCGTACAATTATTAATTCAGTTCGTGGCGTTTGCACACAACTCCATGCGATTGTTAATTCCTATGATCGTTTTCGACTCAATTTGTATTCAACCAATAAGTTTTGTTTGAAAGTATCTCGTCTTGTTGAACCTTCAAATATCATTTCACTGATTTTATCCGGTGGCTATGGCCGTCAAGGATACATCAAATCGTTTCCCGTGAATTTCAACGTTAGTAATTTTACTAGACTTCGTTCGTTGACCCTTAATGAAGTCAGCAATATTGAAATTAACCAAATTTTCCAACATATTATGATCAATTCTCTAGTGTCAATGACAGTCACTATGCGTGAACAATATAACAATACAGCCTTATCAAGTATCTTTCCAGTTGCCGGTCATCGAATCAATTTTCAAAAATTGTTCTTGAATAATCTGGATTATACGACTATAGAAATACCATGGACAAATCAATGCAAATTAGAACAACTGACGATCAGGGATTGCAGTTATCACGGATATGGTATCATACTCTCTAACTTACACTGTTTAAAAACACTTGAAATCAGAAAGTGTCTTATGGATAATACTTATCAAAGGGCTTCTTCATATTCAGTTACAACATCCAATTCTGCAAAGAGACAACGTACTTCCACTGATCCCACAGGTACAGTGAGTTAAATATACACTCTTCAACCATCATCTACCTCATCGGAGGGTTAGCAATTTTTTTCGATGAAATGAATTTCGTGCCTGACTCATATGTAACTAATCGACTCGATCTAGTTTGATCGTTTAAACAGCCACATCACTAACATGGGAGCTATTGAAGTGATACCCATCCTTTGAGCTCATAAAGAGACGTCTAGGAGCCTAATAAAATCCTAAAAGACAGTTAGTCTCCTAATATTTTTCCAGTCAAGTTATTATTAGATTATATGAGTTCAAAAGATCAGTATCCCGTTGAAATAGCTGCTTCATAAGAAAACGACCTGTTCAGTTTCCACTCTACTCTACAGGACTGCATTTTTTTACGTATGTATTCTCTAAATCCATAGAGACTCAGAGTACTTCTATACTTCTTAGTACTTTTGTACTGGTAGAGTTTCGACTTGTCAGTCTTGTAAAAAATGTTTGATCTTATATATTGATTTAATAGTATATGCACAATTGATTTCATTGACTATTGGTGATTGTCAAATATCAATGGAAGAACTCAAATGCCTTCTTTTACTGACACCTTCACTTGTCCACCTCAAACTGGTTTCATCTAGATCAGAAACTTATTCGATATTCGATGGTTCTTATTGGGAGCAATTTATTCAAAATAATCTACTTTTACTGAATAAATTTCAATTTTTCTTCACTTATATTACCGATGAATTTAATGATACCAATACTTTGGACTCACTTATTCTACCATTTCGAAGTTCGTTCTGGCTCAACAACAAACATTGGCTTGTCAGTTGTGACTATACCCCACGAAAACGGAACATTCGACTCTATACATCATCAGCCTACAAGGATATCGAAGCAAGATCTTCTAAACTTTTAATATCATCGATAAATCCTAAATGTCGTATGATTTTGCATTCGAATGAAGACATGGACCATTACAGTAGAAAAGAAGTAAGTCTGAAATGTCTGTCTCATACAAAAATCGTCCAAAGCGTTTCAGATACGTAAATCCATGTTTTTCCTGTATTTATAAATGTTTTTTATCAGATATTTTGTAGAGTTGAATGTGTATGGTTCAAAGTCCAACAGTTGAACGATGATGTTTTTGTGGATGATGGGTTATTTTCCCTGTAAAATTTAGAATTTCCTTCCATTATGCCATCTAACCCAAGAAGAATCTATTTTCCTTAGTTTTCCATTCATAGAAATGACGTCAAATACACAAATATCTGTGATGAAACTCTGAAATCTTTCATTAGAGCCATTTGTGTTACTTTGAGGGTGAGAGTGTTTTCGTCAACTTCTTATACTTGGAAGCGTTTTTCGAATATATACGTCTCATTCAATGTCTTCCATTAATATCTAGAAAATTTATTCAGTTTTCAAAATATTGCGAAAGTAATCGATTTAATAAGATAATAAGACATATTGTCCGTAATGCGCATAATTAATTAGTAGCATACAAAATCTAATTGTATTTTTCTAACCTAAACATATAACGCCCAGCCCGACCTCACTCATTCTTCAGACACATAAAATATCACCCCATTTTTCGCGACTAGTCTTAGTACTTATTTTATCCGTGATTCCTCATTCTCCTTTGAATTCCATAGTATATATTCTTGTTTTTATATAGACAGACGATATATTGAATCTTTCTTACAATTATTTCGAAGACAATCTGATGCAGTATGTAGCTGTAGCACTACTCGATTACAAAGTGATACATTTTTCAAATTCTTTATATTCAAATTTATGTTTTATTTATCATTTAGACATTAACAATACTTAGACTTCGGTGTAATGGAATCGGTGATATTGGAGCACAATATCTAGCTGATGCATTACGAAATCATCAGGTGACATATTTTTCAGATTTCTTTAAATTATACTTATTTTTGACGCTATACGCAGACACTTACCACATTAGACCTTTCTCACAATCGAATCAAAAATAACGGAGCAGAATATCTTTACCATGCCTTCAAAAAAAACAAAGTAAACCTTCGATGCTTCTCATTTATCGTAAATATGTTCTTTCTTTGACATAGACGCTTATCCAATTGGAACTCAGAGAAAATCGTAGTAGCTATTGCACAGCTGTGAGTGCAGCCGTTCAGATACGAAACGATAAAGTAACTCATTGCTATCAGATTATTCATCATAAATTTTCACTTTTCTACAGACAATCACTAAGATGGATCTTACATATAAGAATATCGGCGACAACGAGATTAAATTTGTGACTGTAGCACTACATAACAATGAAGTAACATAGTTTCTGTATATTGTTTTATTAATAATCATTATTTTTGTTTTGATCAGATAATCACCAAATTACACCTTTCGGGGAATAAAATCGGCTATACTGGAGCACAGCATTTAGCTGAAGCGTTACGCAACAATGAAGTAACATAGTTTCTGTATATTGTTCCACTAATGACCATTTTTTGTTTTGCTGTGACATAGACAATCACCGAATTAAACCTTTCGCTGAATAAAATCGGAGATACTGGAGCACAGCATTTAGCTAAAGCATTACGCAACAATAAAGTAACATAATTTCTCTATATTGTTCTACTAATGATGATTTTTTGCTGTGACATAGACAATCACCGAATTAAACCTTTCGCTGAATAAAATCGGAGATACTGGAGCACAGCATTTAGCTAAAGCATTACACAACAATAAAGTAACATAATTTCTCTATATTGTTCTACTAATGATGATTTTTTGCTGTGACATAGACAATCACCAAATTAAACCTTTCGCTGAATAAAATCGGAGATACAGGAGCACAGCATTTAGCTGAAGCATTACACAACAATGAAGTAACATATATATAATTTATCTGTATTGTTTCACTAATGATGATTTTTTGTTCTGATAAAGACAATCACCGACTTAAATCTTTCGATGAATAAGATCGGCGATATTGGAGCACACCATTTAGCTTATATGTTACAAAACAATAAAGTAATTCATTTGTCTTTCTTTGATTTATATTTATTCCTCTGTGTAGGCTCTCACTTCACTGCTACTAGGAATTGCTTCATCACAGGTATCTATCCTATTCTACCCAATCATATTAAATATAACTTTCTTT